CCCGCACTGGCTGGGCTGCTCCACGACGGCCTCGGCCTCGGCTTGCCTCGGCGCGGCGGCGCACAGGCCCGCGGCAATGAGTCTCTTTCACGACATTTTTCACGGCGCGCTGCGCCCGTGGAGAGAAGGAGGAGGAGGTGGTGGGTGGTGGTGGTGTCGGGAGGGCGACAGCATGCCTCAAGACATGCAGCAGCGGGTGGAGGGGGAGGGGGAGGAGGGTCTTTCACACCAGCAGGCGCACCACACCGCCGCCGGGTGCTGCTGCTGCTACTGCTGCTGCTGCTGCTGCTGCTGCTGCTACTGCTACTCTCCCCTCGACAACGCCAAGCAAAACTGTACGACTCTTCTCGCGGAGGCATCAGTGTCTAGGATCCGTCCCTTCTTCTCCACCTCTCATCACTTCCCCTTTCTCTTCTGTCTTTCTCCCTCTCCCTTCCCTCTAGGGGGTCAGTACTCTGCGCCCCGCACCACGCCCCCGCCATTCGACGTACTCGTAAACGCCAGCAGAGCGCGAGGGGTGGCGGCGGCGGGGTGCGGGCAGACAATGACGACGTCCCCCTCGCCCGGTGCGGTGCTCCGCGGCGACTCTCTAGATTTGCAGCTCCAAGAGTGGCTCCTCGCTCCCACCCACCTCCTCCAGCAACGCAACCTTACCGGGCACTCCACGGCTTCGCACGTCCCTAGCCTGCCCGTCGTGCCTACCGCGAGAGTAGAGGAGTCGTAGAATTTCCTATGGAGATGTGAAATGAAATAACCGACACATATAGATGTCTTCAATTTATGTTCGAGAAAAAAATACAAAATACTTCGGGGTGGCTGAACGGATGTCCGAGGCCTAGCCCGGCAGTCTTCTGTCTCCACCGTCGTCCCCGCCGAAGATTCAAGCTCACGCGAGGACAGTGGGCAGGCGACTGCCGCAGGGCGGCTCTACCCGCACGATGTGGATGTGGATACCGGGTACGCCTGCTAGAACTCCTCCAGCCTGACATGATCACACACGTCGCACAGCACCTCGACCTCGGTCTGCATGAGCACGGCGCGCACGGCGGCGCGCTGCTGTGCGCAGGCGGACGCGCTGTGGTGGATGTGGTCGCCGTGTGGGGTGGAGGCCTCGGTGTTCCGCGCCAGGACGAGCCTCCTCAGCGCGAGCAGCCTGCACTCGTCGAGCAGCACGTGGACGTCCGGGCAGGCGAACGGCCACCGGGCGGTCGCCGGGCCCCGCGTGCCCACGAACAGCCACAGCGTCTCCAGCGTGCGCGCGTGTGCCGAGAGCAGCGAGCGCAGCGTCGGCCGGGGCAGCCGCCACACGCTGAGCCACCGCAGGCCCGCGTGGCCGCGCGGGGTTTCGGGCACCAGGATGATCCTGGAGTAGGCGTCGCACCGTATGCTCAGCCTCTGCAGCAGCGGCATCGCCTGCACCGCGCGCACATGGTCATCGCTCGGGCAGTGCAGGCTCAGCTCCTCCACCGTGGGCTCGACCGCCCTCAGCAGCGCGCCGGTCCAGTCCATGTTCTTGCGACACCAACGAACATCCATTCGTCGTTCCTACGGAACAGCGCGGGGTTATGTTTTGTGCCAATGTGCTGAACGCTCCACGATTCGGTCCACCAGTACAAGATTCATCCAAATACACATAAATGTTACACTTCAGACAGCAGACTCACCCCTCTTGCTCTCCTTAAGACGTTATCTCTTTCAACCTGATTGGCCCTGTCTCCTCTTTCCGGTCTCACGAACACGACCAATCCGGTCGGTCGTGTCGTACGCGATCGTGCTCCTGGTGGGCCGCTGGCGGCGCCAGCAGGGCCGCGCCCCGCGCTGGAGGAGGCCGTCCTGGAGGAGGCCGTGCTCGAGGCCGTGCCGGTGGTGGCAGTGCCGTTGGCGCGCTGATGGTTGCGGGTAGCCCTTGTGCTGCTGGAGTTGGCTGGTGGCGGTGTAAGTTCATGCCTCGCTCGTTCCTGGAGAGATCCGGTAGCGTGAGTGTCAGTGCGGCTCTCTACAACTGGACACACGCGTGTCCTACAACTACGACCTCCCTGATACAATTTACCTCGATAGCAACGGACTTCTTCGCCAGCACGAGCCACATGGCCTTGATTAAGGGGTCGTCGTCGCGGTTTCGCACGGCCATCCTGACTTCGTGGTCTCCGCTCCGCAGCGTGAGGTCCCAGTCTTCTCGGGCCAGCAAGGTGAGGGCCTGCGTGGTCTGCTCTCCCGTCCACTCGCCCTCTAAGAACCTCAGCTCTGCGGCAGCCTGCGCCAACACACCCAGCTGCTCCGTTATGACTCGGTTGGAGTTGATGAGCTCGTGCTCCTGCAGGCACTGGGGCTCGGCAGCGGCGACGCAAACCAGGCACCAGAAGGAGGGAGTCCTGTAGCGAAAGGTTCAGTAGTTAGAATGATTAGTGTCGGTTCTGAGCCAGAGTCAAGGTGCCGGAGTACGGCGCGGTAGGTAACGCGTGTGTGAGTATGTACAGTACTCGCTCCGAGAGAATACCCCCCCCCCTTTCCTCTCCGCCTGCTTCACCGATTCACGCAGGAAACAGGGAATACCTATGCGCCTTTGGCTGCGGCTTGCTTGTCTTTCACACCTCCAGACAAAATCATCAAAGATTATTTCAGATTACTTCTAAAATTTTCAGTGATTGCCATTAAGGACACATTTTGACTTATTCATTAAATAAAATGTGTAGAAACAGTGGTCGTTAACCACGTACCCCACGTACCATATTTTGATTTTGAGCGATTCTACTTTATTTTTCCGTATTTTGATCCCACTGAATGATTTTATAGAATCGAATTATTTAACTTTCATTTTCGAGATTTAGTTTGTTTTTGTGATTCTTTTGGATAGAATGGACATAATCAATGATTATCTTGCAGAGTGTGCAGGGAATTCGGTACGGTTTAAAATGGACGTGACAGACCCTTTGCTTCTCCATGCGTCTGCCATAAGGTCACGAGGAAGTCCTCACCTAGCCTCGCCTTGGCGCTCCATGACCCGCAGTAGAGAGAGAGAGATGCGGCGGCACTCCAATGACCAATCCTGGCAAGACGTAGTAAGACAGGTCTCGGTCCGACCACTTGCAGAGCTAGTCATCGACTGCTGCCGATAGCGGCGATAACAACCCGCGTATTCCCCCGGTTGCCACGCAGAGCGTAATCGGATCCGCGCACTCGAAATAGCTTCACTCTCTAACAATTTTGTTTAAGCTGTTACCAACACAAAAATGTTATGTTGGCAAGATTGGTGACAACCGTGAACCGTGGTCATTCCCTATGAAGTAGCGGCAACTTGGAATGGAGCGGCTCGTCACGGACAGGCAACCGAACGACGAACGAAGTCCGGCGTCCGGCAGTGTAGTTCGTACAGTCAACAACGGCAAACCGGTCTCGCGGGAGCTTCAAGTCGGTGTTGTTATGATTAGGAACAAATGTGGTGTTTTGTGACAAAGTTAGTGTATTAATTGGCCCTCCGACACCGAGTCGGCCACGAGAAGTCTGGCCTGGATTCCGCGCCTGCTTTGAATGTGCTGCAAAAGTGACGTGGGTGACGTGTGAGGGACCAAAGGGAGGTTATGGATTGCCTCATGAAGTTCAACCAGTTCAAGAATCATCACATCATGCACAGAAAGGCGAGACAAAGGGTGAGTCACCAACGAATCTAAATAACGAAACACTTCACGTGTAAATGTGCACCAGTAATGCCTGGCTTTGTTAGTCCATGCCCATATCCTGCCTGGCTGCCTCAGGATCTGTTAACATTTACACAGTTCTCTCCGTAAGTTCTAGACAGCTTGTGAAGGGGTCTCATATCCGAACTGCCTACGGCCAACCCTCCAGCAATAACCATTAGTGCCTTGCTGATAGGCACCATGTGAGATATCATATTCTTAGACGCCACATCCCGGCAACGTTAATCCTTCTTGTCAGTTATTTATGTGGGTTCAGTGTATTTTTGTAGGCCCAAGTTTCTTTCAACATATCACTTTATTTCATTTAAATACCTTCACACCATAACTAAGGCAGGGCAAGATCCTGAAGAGGCATGCGCCTCTTAATTACATTTACAGGCATATCTTAGCATTTATTTACAAAGCCATTCATACTACAAGTAACAACTCTTCAACATTTTTTAAAACTAAATTATATACATTCAGCCTTTTTTTAAAATATGAAATTACACTTAAATTACTACAGCAGTTTCCTCGAACTTAATCATAGGTCTAATATTGATGATAATATGGTCTCCAACGCACCAACCATGAGAGAAGGGCTCATGCACCAACCTCTTTGCCAAAAGCGTCCATGGTATTGTGCGGAGTCACATAGTCAATTAGAATAAATAAAGTGCTGTCCCTATTGAAAGCGCATGCCGTATACAGTCAAGTTAAAAGACTTCCTGCTCGACAATCGCGCACGTCTGACACTGCACGTGCACCCCGGGCAGCTCCCGCCGCACGGCCTCGCACTGCTCGGTGCAGTCGGCCGGGTTGTGGACGGTGTGGAGGGGTTTGTGGCTCTCGTTGCCGATCCCGTTGCGCTGCAGCACGAGCGTCCGCAGCGCGCGCAGCTTGGCTTGGGCCAGCAGGAGGTGCAGGTCCCCGCAGCTCCGGGGCCACTCGTAATTGTCCTCGCCCTGATGATACTCCTTCCTGCCCGCGCCCCCGGTGCCGACCACCAGGCACAGCGTCTCCAGGGTGCGGCCGTGGGCCTTGATCAGGGACGTTAGCGTGAGGCGGGGGACGCGCGAGGCGTGCAGCCAGCGCAGGCCGCTGTACGTCGAGGGCGCGGCCAGCATTGCGACGTCGATGTGCACGTTGGCGTTGTCGATGCGCAGCCTCGTCAGCCGAGGCATGTTTGCCAGCACGACCAGGTGGGCCTGCTGAGCATTCAGCAGGTCCAGCTCCTCCAGCGTGGGCGCGGCGCACCACAGCACCGCGAGGCTCCAGTTGATGTTCTCGTAACTCACGGACAAGTTTGCCAGGCGCTCCACCTGCAACAGAAACGAATGTAGGTTTTAATTTCTGCCGGCCGTCGCCCACGGTGTCCTTTGGTTGATAGTATTGGCCGCCCTTCACTCACCCCTTTGCATCCGGCAAGGGCCTTCTCTCTCTCTATGCGGCTCCCGTGCTTGGAGACTAATTCCAAGTCCGCAGACACAGCGGCCCGCGGCCGTCGCGGGCCGCCGGCCTGTGGCGCTCCCCGGGGCTCACTCCCCTCAACGGCCACCTCGACGAGGCCGGCCGTCGTCGCCAGCAGGACGCACAGGGCCCTGGCCGTGCGGTGGCCCGCGTTCTGGTGGTTCTGGACGGTCCCCGTCAACACGCGGTCCCCGTTGCGGAGGGTGAGGTCCCACGGCTCGCCGGCCAGCAGGGTGAGGGCCTGCAGGGCCTGCTCGCCGTCGCACTCGTCCTGGCCGGCGGGCAGCAGCGGCAGCGCGCCGTGCAGTCCCTGCAGCTCGCGCCGCAGAGCCTCCTCTGGTCTGATGAGGGCGTGCTCGGCCAGGCACTGGGGCTTCGCGGCTGCGCGGCACTCTTTGCACCACCTGCGGGGAGTCCTCCTGTCGCACACAAAGTATACACAGATGTTGAGATGTGACCGAAAAAGAAAAACGCTGTTGGCGAACCGAACGTGATCGCGACTTGGAGGCAGCACGTTCGTTAAGATCCTTACCTGGCCTTCCCTTGGTTCTCCATCAGGTCGATAACGGAGAAATTGTTTGGCAGGGACGCGGGACGGACGGTAAAGGGCTGGAAACGAACGCAGAAAAGAGCAATTACATACACACCGTAGCAGAAGGAAGGGAGAAAGGAAGTTAAATGATATCTAGCTCAAAGTGACGTCTTTGTTTTCAAGCTGATCGGGTAAAACCATGCAGCCCTTGCCCCAACTGCCTGTAGGACCTTCTTGGTTTTACCCGCGACACGGCTTGTAAACCAAACCAAATCGTCGTTTTCACCGCGCGTTCCGGATCATCAACATTTGTTGCCTTTACCCATGAACAAGCATGATTGTGTGTGACAGTAATTCTAGAATTATGTATGCCGGTTGTATCCGCGTGGAGTGCGAGCGGGCAAAGCAGTGTTGCGGGTTTGCCTACTCCAACCGCCAGTGAGGCGTCATGATGGCCACTGCGGCCCAAAGATGGCATATTATGCAAACCGCCCGCAACACTGCAGCATCCGGTCCTTCACCTCCGGCACAAAAGGCCACTATCACTATTATCTCTGGTACTCACCTCGCGGCAGCTAGGGCACTGCTGCCTCCCGACGCGTTGCAGGCACGGCAGGCAGACGGGGTGTCCGCACGGCACCACCGTCTTGGGCACGCGCACCTCCAGGTCGTACGCCTCGAAGCAAATGTTGCACTCCATGACTGTGGCGGCGGCGGCGGCGGCTATCCTATTGCTTCTGGCGGCAGGGATCGCCCCGTAATAACCTGTGTGGCAAAGGCGAACGAAAAGGTAGAAAAAGGGGGCGCTAAGTATTTTGACTCGCGCAATGTTTACAGCGATGCTGTTTACGGGTAAAGAAGCGACACGCGCTCTCCTGAAAACTATGAAACTAGCTGGTACAGACGGGCCGCCCACTCCTTCGACCACTGCGTGTCCTCCATACGATTTACCTCCGTTTCTTTTACACGCGCATGTAAAACTGGACAAAAGTAGCTGTATCGTTACCGTTGGGTCGCCCGCCGTAGCTGCTGTGCGTGCGTGGCTGCTGGTCGTGTGTGCACTACACGACTTGGGGATCCTTGCTGTGCCGTTTGTCCGTCCACTACGACTTGTGACCTCAAACTGACTGTGACTGTTGCCTCGGGTCCGGGTCGGGTCGGGGTCGGGTGTCCACCGTCGCCGTCCCTGTCCCATGCCCGCCGCGCGACGGTCGGTACTTCCCGGGGCGGACGCTAGTCGCGCGCCGGTCGCGGTCGGGGGAAATACAAGGGGTGAGACCTGCTTGCTGGGGTGGATGGCGGCGAAATCTGGTCAAGTGGAAATACCCCTCGCGTGCCTCAGACACACGGCACAGCTCGCCCGTTCGAAGACAAACGAAACCAATGCCATTACATTTCACTGACCCACACGCATGAAATCGCTCACAGGAAAAAAAAGTGACTTTGGACTTTAAACACCGCTAGGAAAAAGCCCCCTATGATCTGGTGAGTGAGGAGCATGGTCCCTGAGAAAGACGAGCCTGAGCAATGGGCCTACAAGTCGGTGGCCCACCGATAATTTTACTTTTTGTTGGGAATAAGGAAAGTGCCCCCCCCCCTCCTTGGGGTGTGCGGAGTAGGTTTGCCTAGAGTCCTATAGGTTTGCCCAGTGTGCTGCTCGATGTCCCCTGTCGTACACGTCGAGAGGGCTGACCCCGGCCCGAGGCGCGCTGCTGCTGCTGTTGCTGCTGCTGCTGCTGCCGCTCTATCCCGGGATAAGGAAGGAAGGCAGGAAGGAGGATGCGGCCCGGAACGGAACTTTCCCTGACCGGGACGACGGCGGCAGCAGCGCGAAATAAATTATTCTTTTGGAAAGCAATACATGTAATCTCCTATTCCAACTTTGCTTCTCATTCATCTTCAGCAGGGACCCGGGCCGTCGTCCTGCAGGACAGCGGCGGGGCGCAGCAGCCGGCAGGGCGGGCTGGACCAGTGGTCAGAGACTTGGGGACCAAGGCCATGGGCAAGCAAGCAGGGTCGGGCTGGTTAAGACAGGGGCGTGCGGGGTGGGGCGGGGCGTAGGCAAAAAAGGGGCCGGCGGCAGCGCTTTCATATTGTGCCCTGTCTGGGGCGGTAAGGAGGAGGCCGGCCAGGAGGACGTGACCAAAAGGTGCGGGTTTGAAACGCGCGCGCTCGCTCGCTCGCTCTCTATCTCTCTCTCACTTTTACTTTCTCCCCCTTCCAATGCCCGACCATACCCTCCTGCTGCGCTGCGGAACCCCGTAGCCTGGCCCAGATCCGACCATCTTCATTTCGTCCACTTTCTCAGTGGTGCACAGAGAGGAGGAGGAGCAGGAGCGAACTTTCGGGACAACTACTATAAACCTCATTTGTAATTGTCAGATCTTTCACGGATGAGGGCCCGGCAGGGTACACGCCGAGCCGTGGCCGGGGGGCTGCTCCCGGGCCTACAGGGGGGACGCGCGGGCGGGTGCGGGGGGCGGCGGCCGCGTCAGAATTCTTGGCAAAGAAAAGTCTTCCCTCCGCGAAACCTATAAATAAAATGATAATGTATACACACGGCAGGGCAGCTTAGAGCGTCCCCTACTGCGCGCGGTCCCGATGGCAATGGAAACGAACGAATGCTCATATTTTTGGTTTGAACGGAACTTTTATTGGCGATGCCGCCCCCTGTCCCTCTGTGCCGCCCCCCGGGCAGCTGGGGGTGGCGAGACGTGGCGCGCGGTCCGGAGGTCCGGAGGCTGCGGGGATAGGCCGGGCGTCGCTTGGCTCCCGGTGCACCGCCGGGTTCTACATGCCACTTTCCACCCGCTTTACCCCCCGACTCGGCTCGTCCTGGCTCGTGACCGCGCAGTTCCTGCTCCACCAAGAAGCGCGTTTGGCTTGGCGCGGCGAGGCGCGGCGGCGCCACGGGGGAAGTAAGTGTTTTTCATGCTTCTCATCTTGAGAGAGAG